CCCCAAAACCCCAAAACCCCAAAACCCCAAAACCCCTTAAATCTAAATATATTTGAGTTATTTAAATTCAAACTATGGAGACTCAGAGTAAGAGACTCAAAAATGAATCTATTGGCTCGAACTACACTTTCAGAGACAAGGAAGGCAGACTTATGAACACGAATGAGAAAGGTAGCTCTACTGATAGAGATCCACATGATGAGTATGAATCTGAAAGTAAGTCAACCATTGAGTTAGTTTTTTATTTCAAAATAATGTTTCTCAACAACTAGCATATGGGAATTCCTTGATAATTCAGCAAAAAGTCTAATAAATCTCCAATAGCATTTGACAGAGAAGATGAGAGGGATTCTTCCTCACAATCCCAGACAAACGAAGAACAGCCATCGATGATTACAGAATCTGAACTGAAAAGTATTGACCTCAATGTTCTAGGAGAGTGATATGTTCCCTCCTCAGACCTCTTTAGTGACAGTAAAGAAAATGACATAAATGAAGAGAATGATGGTGAGGTTTCACAACAAAGTCAAACAGAAAACCATCCAAAAACAAATACAAGAAATTATGAAATCATTAATAAGAGGAATAAAGATGGAGAGAAGATTAATTCTATGGACTCTCAAAAGATCAATTCTATGCTTCAGAAGTCTATTGATAACTTCATCTATGAGACTGAAGACATACTTCGATCTAAGCCACCATCAAAAGCAGGGTATAACACAAATTCTGGGAAAGGACACCAAGATCAAGCTGAATTTGAGAAGAATATCAGGAATTATAATTCACAACAACCAAATATGCCAAGAAGTTTATCTCAAAAATATAATTATAAGAAGGCTCCTATTGGAGATCCTGATGTGAAGTATGTTCATGCAAGCCCGATGAACAGTGGATCAAAGAGATTTGTATATAAGAAGAGACCACAAATGCATCCAACACCCCCTCGATCTCAAAATACAGTTAGTAGAAGACCTGAGAATTACCAATACTCATCATTGTTAAATCCCCATCCTTCAAATGGAGATGTGTATTATGTTCAGCATCAGGATGGAGTAAAGCAAAATCACCATTATTCATTCAATGGGCCAAGAAGGTCGGAACAACACCAAGATAAGTACATTCTGCAACAGCCTGGAGGTATTTTCCACAATGGGAATAATCCTAGTTATGATGAGAATGCTCTACCTTCAAATTTGAACAGGAATATGCCCTTTAGCCACCAAAACTTGCAGGGAAATAACTTTTCTCCTGAGTTCCAGAACCCAAATGATGAGCCAGAGTATGAACCTAATGTACAAAATCCAAGAATAGGCACCTCGATGACCCCGATCAATCATTCTATCAAAGCTACTGTATCAACAGGGCAGATTCATAAAAATCGACCTGTAGCTGCAAACTATCATGAGAATAAATCTATCGAATTAGACTACTACAGGAATTCTTCTTCCCAAAAGACTCCTTTTAATAACACTCATAATAAAAGGAGGTCGAACCAAACCATCCAAGAGGAACAAGAGAGCAGGGAGAGCCCAGAAGAGAGTAAGATTCAAACCTCTCACCACAAAAATTACCCAGAAAGATCTGGTGATCAGATGGAAGAAGGATTTGTAGCTGATGAAACTGTGTATACCTCCAACCCTGGAGTCAGCAGGGCTCAAGGCCCTGATGACTTCCAAAGTGCGAGGAAGACCCAAGTCCAACAGAAGCATTTCGACTCTTTCTCCAACAAGCTTGGAGATTTCTCTAAGGAGGAGTCGCCTGAGCCGAAAAATGCAAATCTACATTTTGTGCTGATGAATCTCCAGGAGATTTTAGCCAGGAATAAGATCCCTGTGAATCAAAATCCTAGTGATAGTTCTCCAGATACCATTATCAAAATAGTCGAGACTATCTCTCATGAGCTTCGGCTCAAGAGAGATAGAGTCGAGATACTTGAAAATGAAGATATAGAGAAAACCAAAACACTTGATTTACTTAAGGACAAGAATGATGATCTCATGAAAGCCCATCAGAAACTCCAAAGAAGGTACGACGAACAGGACCAAGAGCTTGAACAAATTTTGAGAGGCAGAGAAAATGAACTAGAAGAGTTCCGTGAAAAAGAAGATGCTGAGAAGCAGGAACTTCAGTATGAAATAGAGAATTTGCAGAGCAGGAATAAACTACTTGAGAGGAACTATAATGAGATGGAAAATGAGCTAGCTATTACTAATAAGAATCTAAACAACTTTAGGGCTGAAAATGACAATCTACGGTACAAACTTAGACAAAAGGAAGACTCTATCTTTCAAAATAAGCTAATCAAGGATAAGGCAAATTCAAGTTTTGAAGTTGAAACGAATCATCAGAATATTCTATTCTACCAAAGAAAGGAAGAAGAAAAGGCTAATAACCGTAATCCGATTTATACAGAAGAATCAGAGGACTTTTCTAGAGAAGGAGGGTCTGGTGATAAGAAATTCAAGATGCAGAAAGGAGAGATTTTTGATCAGTATAACCCCTCTAAAGAAATTAGAGAGATTCATAAGTTCTTTAAAGATATGAATGAGCTCTTCTGACCATATAAAGACTGAGACCATGATGAGCTTATGGAAATCATCAAGGAGAAATATGGAATTTTACTACAGAGCGAAGACCTGATTGGATTGAAAACACAATTAGAGATCATACTTGGACTTCCCAAAAACTGTGCTAAGCATTTAATTCTCAATAAAATCAAAAATATGGTGACTAGCAACAATGGTGCTGGTAGCTCTCCAGAAATTGGTATGTCAATAGAAGATACAGAAAAGTTAAACAACTCTGAGCTCCTGGTAGAGATAAATATGCTTTTTGATTCAATAAAATCATCTCTAAAACTACCAAAGACCACTAACTACACACAATGCTTGAAAGCAATGAAGAAGATAGTATCCAAGAGAACATTCAAAGCCAATGATCGCCACGAGAAGCGTAAAACAAAGAACAAGTATCATGCCTCAAAGGTTGCTCTAAACAGTACCAAAATTGACTTGTCAAAGAATCTGAGCTTCAAGAAGAAAGCTTCTCCTAGCAGAGAGATCAGCCCTGCTGCAATGTATTCTGGCCCTTCTTCAGCAAGAAACAATTCAAAGTATTCTAAAATAGTATATCCTTCTGTGCCATTTGGAGAGGTACCTACTACCAGGTTACAACCGACTCAAAAAATCAAGAGGCCGAAAAGGGCCAAGAAGGGTTCTACAAGCACAAGTGTTCAGAAGAGGTCTCCGATAATAAAGAAGACAAAAGCTGTTAAGTAATTATACATCCAGGTCAATATTCCTGCAGAATAGAGGGGTTTTGGGGTTTTGGGGTTTTGGGGTTTTGGGGTTTTGGGG